CGAGAGCCTAATGCGAGATGCGAAGGAGATGCGAGATGTGGTGGAGGGTCATAGGTGAGGCAATTGTGAGTCTGCAACACAGCGACAGAGTTGAAGGTGTGGTTACGTAAGACTCTCACGGTAAAAGTGAGATGAGATTAGGGTTTCTTCCGTTTGTTTTAATTTTGGGGATCGTAAGATGCGAGCAGGACTGTAGGGTAAATGGCAAAAGACATGCAAGAAAGATTCACTTTAACTAAAAGTGAGCCGGAATTAATTATATATATATATATATATATCTCAATCTGGTTCAGATAGGCAGATTAGTAGTTCCACACCCAGAATCGAACTAGTACTCACCGGTTCCTATAAATTGGAATTAGGAACTGGATTGGTTTCTATGGAAACCGCTCGTTCTGGGCTAGTTCGGGGCGGTTTCTGATTCCTTTACACACCCCTATTGTCCATATTTCTTGCATTCCCTCCTTTTTCTTCACTCCAATTTACATGGTAATGTCGTTTGTCGATGCATGCGTTGTGTGCTTGCTTGATGCTTGGCTTGTGATTTTGAAGAAGTCTGAGTCCAATTAGGGCCGACGTCTTGTCAATTATCGTATCAACAATCAATCGTTACTCTGATCCGATGATTGCCTAAATATTCCAGATCGATGTTGATGTGAAACCGAAAGTTTCCAGTGATTTAGATCCGGAGTAGGAGAATGGGGTGTTGTTTTCAAACTCACTGGCCCACGAAACAACATAAACCCCCCAACGAAAATCATGATTAGACCAATGAATTCCCTAACCAATCATGTTCCGTTTGAATAACACCAACTTGGATTAACTTACATCTCATCAAAACCAAATTTTATGGATGAACTTATGTATGCTACAACCCTAGCAAAACTGAGAAGTATAAATAAATTAATAGTTGGTCGACAGTCTCTTTTGGACCTACTGGCATTATAATCTTCTTGGCCAGATTCCAAATTATAATTTGCATTATAATTCGCATTTTTCAGAAAATAATGTCTTTTCTGTTTATTTTTTTCTCCTCTTTTCCTTCTTCTTCCCCCAAATTCGCCATATAATTATTGAAAATTTCAATGGAGCCTTTCATCCTTCAATGTCATGTCCATGTCTGTCGCTTTATCTACAGAAAGGCTGGCTATCCGTTTGCTGTGCCATGGTACTTCTTGATATCGAAAGCGCTCCGCGTCCCAACGACCGACGTCCTTTCATTGAAGAGCATCGAAGTGAAATATCACAAACTCGTGAAAGAACAGATGTAAGGCATGCTATGTTCTTGATTGACTCATTTGCTCATCTTCTTTATTTTTTTCGATTTATTTTTATTTAATCTCCTTTAATAGTATCGAGATGGGATAATGATACAAACAGTCCCTGAACTTTGACTCAATCTGCAATTTGATCCCTGAACTTTTAATTTGTTCAATGTAGTCCATGAATTTTAAGCTAATGTTCAATATGGTCCCTGAACTTTTAATTTGTTCGATGTCATCCCTGAATTTTTGGTACATGTTCAATTCAGTCCCTGAACTATGTAAAAATGTTCAATATAGTCCCTGAACTTGAATTAATGAAAATGACTGCATTGAATATTTTCATATAGTTCAGGGATTGAATTGAACATGTACCAAAAGTTCAGGGATGACATTGAACAAATTAAAAGTTCAAGGACGACATTGCACATTAGATTAAAGTTTAGGGACTACATTGAACAAATTAAAAGTTCAGGGACCAAAATGCACATTAGGCCAAAGTTCAGGGACTGTTTGTGTCATTTCCCCTATCAAGATAGAGAGAGAGATTTTTACGGCATTGATGTTTGGGGTGCAAACGAGCTCAAGAAGGGCTCGGACTGAAATTCGGGCCGATTCGAGGTTTTCAGCTCTACCGGCCCTGTTTTGCAATCCTAACTGTTGTGATGGACTTGGGCGGGCTTGGGAGGTTTCTCGATGGTAACTAACTATAGGGATGAGCATCGGCCGGGTCTCGATGGCATTAGTTGGCCCAAGCTGATCATACAAGAATAGGCTCGGACCAAACTAAATCGATCCTTGCCATACCAGTTTGGGCTTAGCCCAATTTTGTTTTGCTTTTTCTTTTTCTTTGTTTTTTGGGTAATTAAAGGGGTAGAGCTTAAAAATTACATCATTACTCTCCTAATAAAATATGATGAAATCTAATTCCCTAATAACAAACGAAGCAAACCTATCAATGACCTATCTAATACATAATTGTCACCTACATTATTGGGTTGGATAACTAACAATTTTTTTATTATAGTTTGGCATCTAATACCTAACAATTTTGTTTTCCTTTTCAATTAGAATGGATAAGTTATTATATTTTCGCCCTCACAGATGACTTTTTTTATATATATTTTCGACCACTTTTTCGAATTCAACCCATATCATTGCATCAATTCTCGTTCATTTGATTTTAATTATGTTGTGTTAACTTATGTATGCATTTACCACAGTGTCTTGAGCATGAATAATGCATTTTCTATTATCCTATTCTTTCGCATATATATACATATCAAAAATTAGTTCAAGCAGGTTCAGGCATTTTGAGCTTAATTTTCTCAAGACCTGACCGGCCTTAATAAAAACATAGGACAAGCCCAAAATCATGGTGCATGCCTATGCGAGCTTCCAAAAATCTAGCTAGTCCGGTTCAGTAATTTTTGCAATACGAAATCGAAAGGAGAGGTCTCGATTTGTTTTATCATAATTCTCACATAGCCATTACGAGTTTCGCATGTGTATATGTTGCGCTTCAACAATTCCTTGACCTATACATATTAGCTTGCACCCGCGAAAAGTCTTTAATATCGTACTTGCCTAAAATTTGGCCGAATATGTAATATAGTCCATCAACTTTCAATTTGTTCAATTTTATCCCTGAACTGTAACCCAATGTGCAATATGATCCTTGAACTTTCAATTTATTCAATATAATCCCTAAACTTTTGGTAAATGTTCAATTTAGCCCCTAAACTATATGAAATTGTTCAATGTTATCCCTGAATTTGAATTGATAGAATGACAACAACGAACATTTTCATATAGTTTAGGGACTGAGTTGAATATGTACCAAAAGTCCAGGAAACCACATTGCATATGGGGCCAAAGTGTAATGATCATTTGTGTCCTTATCTCTTTGAAAAAAACTTCAACTCAGTGAAATTTATAATTGCAAAATTTGGTCTCACCTAAACTTAGAAAACTCAGCCTGCCGTAGACTGGACACAAGCAAGACTAATCTTTATATTATATGAAGAAATATAGAATAAAGATCACGAGTTGAAACAGCACAATGATTATGTAGTGGTGGAGCATTTCTTGGATCTGGAGATGCCTTGTACGTCTTCTTCGTGGCTTTCCAATGAATGGGATCTCTTTCCCTCTTCAATAAGAAATTTGGGACCATTTCTGCATTAAACAAAGTAAGAATGGTGCGTGTCCTTCTTATGGATGCAGGCGTGCGACAGAAGTCATTGATGTTTGCCCTCTATCTTTTACTTAAAGAAAGAAGAGGTGTCCCATGGCAAATGGGAAGAATAGAGTAGTAATTACTAGCTCTCCTTTTGATCTCGAATGTCGAAAAATGTGGATCTCTGTCCGGGTGTTTTCTTTGTCGTGTATAGTTAACTAAAATCACGGTTCTAATGATCGAGATCGAAGGAGAACGCCATGCGTGACAGAGAGATCATATTCACGTATCACCTCATTGTTATCTTGTCTCATTTTGAATTTATCTGTTGTTCGATATCATACTACTATAATTCATCTTGATAATATATATAGACTTTTACAGAAATTAACGGTTTACATTGAGGTTCAAACCACTTGTGGTATTGCTTTATATTGTGAAGAGATCGGTCTACGCCGAAGTAATTTTTTTTTAGCGATCATCTAGTTTCAACATTGAAAATTAATATCATCTAGATTGAGTATTCCATTCACCTCTAGTAGTATCGTCCAATGAGTTATTACTACCTTTATGGCTGGCTATTGGTGGACAAAGATCTTCCTCTCTTTTGATACTATGACTCTCTCGATGATTGCTTGTGCTCCCGTTGAGCTCACCGCCATAGACAAAACTCGATATCGACGAGGCGAGAGGAGGTGTCTCCTCAAGATCCCTTGTCGCCCTCGAGATCTAAGTAAGATATCTTGGGTTCGTTAGGTCTTGACGGCCGTGCACGCACAGAGAGCAAGAGACTATTGAGGGTTAAATGCGAAGGCATTGACACTAAAGCAATGGTGGTGCCGCCTGGAATGGACCATGACAACTTCGCGAATGGCGGCGATTGTGTCGGTAGCTTGGGGCTACGGCCAAAGTGGCTAAATAGAGAGAGATCTGGTGTTTAGGTTTTCATGCCTGTGTAATCAATTGTATTGAGGATTAAAGTCAATTGAACACGAATAAAAATATAGCATCACTACTAATAAAGTGAGCACGGATAAAATTTTTGTGGATAAGCATTAAAGAGTCACGAGTTCATACGATGCTATATAAGTAACTTTACGGGCACAGATCTTACCTAATTTAGATAGCTTAAAAGTCGTAGTATCACCTTATGAAAGCAGCTTTAATAAATAATTACAAACAATAAAATTCTCGGAGTTCTTTTATTATTGGACATTTCAAGAAGGGAAATTCCATAATCCCATATTAAAAAATACTGACGAATTCTCGTCAGTTCGAACTGCTAGATGTAGAGATGGTAAGTTTTTCGATTATAAGATGATTTTAAAATGATAGTAAGATTATTAATTAAGATAGTCAAATTCACTGTTAATTAAAAAAAATTACGGCATATGAAGATAATTATTTATAAAAAAAAGAACCTCAAATAAAAAAGAAGAAGAAGAAGAAAATACCATATACTAAAACACATAACTCGATCACATTCCGAAAAATAAAAATAAAATAAAATAAAAACTCCGCGAACAAAACGCGGTAGTCATTCATAAAACGGACTGCAGCTCCGGCTTCGGTCTCCCTCCACGTTTCCCCGGGCGGATGCGTTCCCGTTGAGGAATCCCGATCGATCGCCGCCGCCGCACCGCCGCCGCCGCCATGTCGATTCGCCGGCCGCCGCAGCCGGCGGCGGAGTCCCCCTGGGACACGATGCTCCCGGGCCCGCCCAGCCGCAACAACTTCGGATCCATGGACCTCTCCCCCTCCGGCCTCCTCGCCTTCCCCTCCGGCTCCTCGGTCACCGTCGTCGACTCTCGCTCCCTCCAGCTCATCACCACCGTCCCCCTCCCTCCTCCGCCCCCTTCCTCCGCCGCCGCCTCCGCCGCCTCCCTCTCCCCCTTCGTCACCTCCGTCCGCTGGTCCCCGCAACCCCTCCCCCACTCCGTCCTCCTCTCCTCCGCCTCCGACGACCTCCCCTCCCCGCTCCTCCTCGCCGCCGGCGACCGCCACGGCCGCCTCTTCCTGCTCGACCCCCGCTCGCGCTCCCCGCCCCTCCTGACCTTCGAATCCGACTCGGTCTCTCCTAAATCCGGCATCCAAGACCTGTGCTGGATCCAGTCCAAGCCGGATAGCTTCCTCCTCGCCGCCCTCTCCGGCGCCTCGCTCCTCTCCCTCTACTCCCCCGCCACTGGCCGCTGCATTTGGAAGTACGATGCCTCGCCGGAGTACTTCTCCTGCATTCGCCGCGATCCGTTCGACTCGCGCCGTGCGTGTGCCATCGGGATCAAAGGGTTTCTTCTGTCGATCAGGGCGCTGGGCGAAACCGAGGAGGACATCTCGATCGGCGAGCTGCAGATCAGGACGGATTGCAGTGAATTGCAGAGGTTGGAGAGGGATTTGAGCGGATCGTCCTCGTCGTCACCGGCAGCTGCGGTTTTCCCTACTTATGTGGTGAAGTTGGCATTTTCGCCACACTGGAACCACATCTTGTATGTGACGTTTCCGAGGGAATTGGTTATTTTTGATTTGCAGTACGAGACAGCATTGTATGCCGCAGCATTGCCTCGAGGTTGTGGCAAGTTTCTTGATGTGTTGCCGGACCCGAACCACGATTGGCTTTACTGCGCGCATCTCGATGGAAGGCTCAGCATTTGGAAGCGAAAAGAGTAAGCAACTTCATAGCTATTCGTCATCCTAGGCAATGAGCGTACTTGAAATTTTGAAGCTGCATTTCGTCGAGAGGATCATTGCGTAGGGAATAACTTTTAGCTTGGTTTTTATTTCCTTTGCTTGTATGGTTGTCATGCGCGGCGTTCGTCAAGTAAAGCTAGAAGCTGTATATTTGTTGTCGATGATGAGTACCTTGTTGAAATGTGCTCTCCCTCTTTCCCCACTTAGTTTGATGGTTTAGCTTGGCATTCAGGCTATTTGCTTACAAGCATGGTAATGCAGGGGAGAACAGGTGCATGCTATGTGTACTATGGAAGAGTTGATGCCTTCCATCGGCACAATCGTACCTTCTCCTTCGATTCTTGCAGTCGTCATCTGCGAATCAGATTCCACCCTTCAGAATGTTGCAAGGCAATACTCTGATGCACCTCCTTCACCTGCCTCCAGTGTGGAGTTTGACAATCCTTTTGATTTTAGTGACGATTCTCTTCTTGTTTCTAAGACGCGATTGATCTCCATTTCTGATGATGGAAAAGTGTGGAACTGGCTTTTAACTTCTGAGGGTGATTTGTGTGCTCAAAAGGACACAAATGACGCAAGTGCCGTGCCTGATGCCACTGCTGTATCGGCTCTTGAGAATAATACTGAACACAGTGGTTCTACCACTGAGGGAATTGCGTCTGAAGGAGTTCAGCAGTCAGTGAATGTCAGTGATGCTAGAAGCCGCGCGTCAAAATCATCCCTCAAAGAGACGGAAATCTCATTTAAGGTTTGTGGGAGAAGAAGTTCTTTGTAGTCATTCGAGCTCCTAGGTGTTATCTATAGCTAATCAGATTTGAAAAGAATCTCATGGTTAAGAAGTATAATAAACATTTGCACTGTAGCTCTCCTGTGAACAGTTGAAATGCTGATAACCTGAAATCATACTTGCATGCATTAATAATGAATATTCTGCAGCTGTGGGCATACATGGAAAGATAATTCTCGGTGCCTTCTTTTCTCCAGTTTGGCAGTGAACATGCCCTGGTTAAGCTCTAAATTTTAGTTTCCTTCTTTTAAAGCAATGGTGCTGTTCTTTTGAATGGGATCATAGGAGAGAGAATCGTGCTGGATAATTTCTTTCTGTTGTCTGTTCTTATTAGGCGTTAAGAGGTTAAATTTCTCTTCAGTTATGTTCTGTTAGCGACAGATCAACACTCATATTAATGTCATACTTTCGGACATCTTTGATGTGGACAAGGGCCATCTGAATGATCAAATGTTCTTGTTATCCTTGCTAAAGTCGTGATTGCTCCATTCTGTGATTTCTGTGCATACTCTTGTTCTTATTATAGTTACTAACTAATGGATTCTAATTGTTTACCATCTCATTGAAATTTAACTCCCAGTGCCAACACATCCTTCCATTTAGGACTATTTCTCGTGTTCCCCAACATTTTCCATTTATGTCTATTTCTCCCAGTGCCAACACATCCCTTGTTCTCTGTTTAGCATAAAAAGGCATAGTGACAAGTTATATTCCTGATGCAGATGAGTTTAGTTGGACAACTTCAACTTCTTTCATCAACAGTGACGATGCTGGCTGTACCATCCCCTTCGTTAATCGCTACATTAGCCCGTCAGTTGCATTCTATCACCTCGTGACATATCATAGTGTTTTCTTCACTTGCTGAATAATATAGTTAATGTCTATCGAGGATGTTCGAGATTTTTCACTGATTAATGAACGTTAAAATATGAAGGTGGGGGAAACAGTCCTGCTGTAGCTGTTCCACTGGTTGCTCTCGGAACACAAAGCGGGGCGGTTGATGTTATTGATGTTTCTGCCAATGCCGTTGCGGCAAGTTTTTTAGTTCACAGCGGTGTTGTTCGTGGATTAAGATGGCTTGGCAACTCTAGGCTCGTCTCATTTTCATACATCCAGGTCCATTTGCTGTACATGCTATTTTACTCCTCCCTCCATTAGCATTATTAATGTCCCCAGCCATAGCATTAGATTTGCAGGTCTGCTGCCAATTTCTAATGCATGACTCATGTTTAATTGACTTCAGGCAAATGAGAAAACTGGAGGCTACACCAATAAGCTCGTTGTTACATGCCTTCGAAGTGGCCTTAATAAACCATTTCGCGTTTTACAGAAGCCTGAACGTGCACCAATAAGAGCTTTAAGAGCTTCCTCATCCGGAAGGTTGACTTCTCTTTGCTTTCTTTTGACTTTATAGGGACGGTTTAACTACACAGTATGTTTTTTGAGAACGATCAGCTTAACTCTAATACGTTATGGGTACCATGGTGCTACAAAAGAAATAAATAAAGAACTTGACCATAGTATGGATTAGCATGGTCCTATAAGAGGGTGATCTTGCTTATCACTTAATCTCTATCTATTTCAAAAAGGACCTTACAGCCAATGGACCGAGTCAGTTGATGTACTCATGAGTTCTATAAATCAAATTTCGAGTTCATAATTATGGCAGTCCATGTGTTAAACACCTAATTTGCTGCAATTAAGGATTTATACCTTGTTAGTATCAACTCTGTGTAAATACATACTTATCATGTCATACAAGTACATACACAAGGAGATTGTAACAATTTATATGATAAACGTGGTGGCGTTTTGTGATTTTCTTACCTTTTTGAGCTTGTTGGTCCTCACTTATCATTCAAAGCCCAGTTAATCACTCCAAAACTAGTTTCGGAGTATCTTTGTGTTGTATCTTAAGTAATCGCATTTCATGAAAAGTAATTATGATTGGCTTGTGATTTACATGCTTGGAGTTAGGAGTTCTGCCAATAAGTTTACTAAAGAAAATGAATTCCTGCAATTCCATCTCATTCTTGTGTTGCTTTATTGCCCACTAATAGTTTTTACTGTCTTTTATTGTTATCTCTGTCAATTCTTTGATGTAGCTTAAGAAAACTTGATGTGGCCGGCTGCAACCTATTGCAGTTAGAAGCAGTTAAGTCATATAGTAATTCAAACTCACTAATTGTCAGAGAATTTATTGGTGTAGTGAGGCGAGGGGTGGGCATGGGGCTTGACTGTGTTATTTTTTGAGGTGTAACTAGAAGAGCGGCCTAGTACTCGTGATCTTGCACAAAATACGTGGACAGATTTCTTTGCAAATGTGGGGTGTCTTTAATCGCATGCAAGTGATTACAATGACATGGGAACATTGAGATAATTACTGACACTGGAAAGACTTGTAAGGTGGTGGTTCTTGTCTTCTGGTTAAACAGCCTAATAAAGAATAGTATTGATCATAAGTCATGAAAGTCTAGGCAATGCACCTTTAGTTGGTTGCTGACATTTGGGATCTATTTAGCATAACGTTTAACTCATTAAAAAAAGTTGGAAGAGGATCTGTTGGTAGCAACATTGTTCTGACTGATGAATTACTTCTGATATGATGGTTATAAACAATAAGGGACTATCAAGTGAGAACTCCTATTTGTTATTTTCCTTCCTGGATTTTACCTTTCTATTCGACTCCTTCACCTTCAGCACAGCATTATTACTGTTTTTGCCTTCATGTGTCTTAGTAAGTTGTGTGATCACAACGCATTGCAGGTATCTTCTTATTTTGTTTCGTGACGCTCCTGTGGAGGTCTGGGCTATGACTAAAAACCCTATCATGGTAAGTTAGCTTGTAATATCTTCTGCATCAGAAACATTTTGCACACTTGTTGCTCAAATGATACTGACTAACCATTGGCCATTGTTTGAGTTATGTTATTACTAACTTTACATATGGTGCTTTTCCTGTACCCATTGATGGAAACTAGATTTTGCAGTCTTTAGCTGTTGGTAATCTCCAGATTTTGATGTTCTAGTGAAGCTTCTCAAACCATATTAAAGCTAGTGAACCGATTCTTGTGATTATTTACTCCATGGCATGCCACCAAGTGAAGTCAATATATGATATTGTAAACAATAAGAAACATGTTGGAGTATGAATTGTTAAGGTACAAGAACTTGATCGTTTCTTGACCAGACATGCTCTATTCCATAATACATGGATATGAAGTTACATTACCAGAGTTAGCTGCAGCATATAAATTTTTGACCCTTGACCATTCTGTAATGACTAGGATGTGAATGCTTCTCCATACTCATGATATTAGTTCATTCTCTGTAATGCTACATTTGTGGTTTTCATTTTATGCTATGGGATATTTTGGGTGACAAGTACTGCATTAATGACCCTGTCTCATAAAGTACCAAAAATGTAGTTCTTATTCTACTCGATCACGTCAATAGAATTTTATGCAAAATCTGCACGTTTACATTTCCCATTATTTTGAGTTTCCTACCTTATGTGATCTAGTTTTTGGTATAGTAAAGTACCGTATTTTGCAAATTATCATGTTAGCCATATGAGTGGAGCATGTACATCTGATGCTATCCTACAGCTTTGCCATATTGAATGCTGTGATTTCGGTATTTATCATGCTTTATATCTCTATGTAGCTTAGATCATTAGCCCTTCCATTCACGGTATTAGAATGGACTCTTCCAACAGTTCCGAGACCAAGTCAACTGCCTAAGCAATCACCATTACTGTCCAAAGATGAAGGAGCTGTAGCAACAGATGGGATATCTTCTCCGACTACATCTTCAGATTCCAGTGAGCATGTCCATATACCTGCTAGTTTCTGTCTTGTTGTAACCGCTGAATATTTCAAAGTTTATGTTTCATTTTAAGTGGAGAGTGACTTTCATCTGCAGAAGCATCGACCCCGGATGCATCTCATGACGATACAACTGAAAGTTTTGCATTTGCTTTAGTTAATGGTGCACTTGGAGTGTTTGAGGTTCATGGACGGAGAATCCGTGACTTCAGGTATGTTGATGTGTCATACTTGCGTATGGAATCTTTCAATGTCGCTTGGTTGTATCTTTGTTGAATAAACAGCTCTTCAAAGAAAAGATTTCTAGAAATCGGCATATCACTACTTGTCTGTGTCATGCCATTTTTTAAGCGGTCACTAAATTTGTGGTTCATATTTGAATGCATTATAAGATACTCCATTTATGCTTGTCAATTCCTATTTCTTAGTGGATTGTTCTTTGTTGGATGATAAAAGATTTTATTCAGAAAAGAAAAGGCTTTGGAGACATGCCAACTTAAACCTTGACGTACATCTACTTTTGTGTTAAATGATTAGCTTCGGTGGCGCTTAGTCATACTTGAGAGTTTGTCTACATGGTGATCAATCACAACCTAACTCTTACAGCATGTTTGGTTGCAGAAATGACTATTAACATCACAAGTATGTTACCGTTTGACTGTCTGTTACAGTGACAGAGTGATCCCTGGCTGCAATAGCTATTACATGACCCCGTGTAATAGCTATTACATGACTCCCTGTGTAATAGTTATTACAACCTTACTGTACTAACTATTTCTAAACTAACCGTCTCTTCTCTTCCACTCAATCTTCCAATTTGATTATTAATTACAACTAAAATTTACATTAATTATAGCTATAGTTTATGTTATTTAGAATTTATAACACCAATGGTAACTATTTCGACATAATCACATATTATATGATCGATAATAAAATATTAAATAATAAGCAATGTTATCTTGATTACACATAACTATTTATTATGTAAGAAATTATTCATAATCTAATAATTAGAATAATATTAGTTGCTTACTATTAGGTAGGATTATCTAGATTTCATAATATAATAATTATCTTAATAACTAATCTTACTTAATGCTCAAATTGTTATATTGTTATTGTTTCAATCATGCTACTGGTTATGTAATAAATAACGTTTATTTTTATGTAATTACATATTATATGATTAAATTTAAGTCGTAATCATAAATTAATAATTCAATAATAGAGAAAACTAATATATTAAATTGTAATATCTTCATTCTATAACTTGGTCTTTACACTTATGATAGGTTATTAAAGTGATAATACTATAACATAATCACATGTTATTTGCTTAAATTTTAATTATATTCATATGTACATTATTAAAATATAAATAAGTATTTTATATCTTGAATTATAGGAGATGATGATCGCAGAAGTCCTAAAACTCTGTCGATTTGTCAATTTAGTCCTAAAACTATTTTTGGATCATTAAATCCTAACACTTGTCGCCATATTTCGAATTAATCGTTTTGTTTACTCCGTCGCTTTTTCTTAGGTGGAAAATCTACGAGGCATTTTTTATTAATTTTTCTTCTATTCTTCGCACATTCTTCGCACAAGTGGCGCATCGGCACCACATCAGAAAGGAACTAACATTAAAAAATAATTAAAAGGGGGCAAAAAACAGAGATTTGGGGAAGGGGGGGTCCACCGCCTCCATTGCCAGCAAAGGTCACTGCCTCCAGTTTGTGGTTGCGGCAGCCCTCACTAGGGCAAGGTGACCCTCGTCCAAGGGTGGCGAAGATTGCCGCGGCCACCACCAGGCAAGGGCCATGGCCCTCACTTGTCGCCCCCCCTCTCCTTTCCCATTCCTCTCCTGCAATCTCCCCTTTCATTTCCTTTTTTAAATTTTCACTATATTTTTTCTTAATCTTTTAGTTTATTTTTGAAAGGGATAATGACACAATCCCTGAACTTTGACTCAATGTGCAATTTGGTTCCTGAACTTTTAATTTGTTCATTGTAGTCCCTGAATTTTGGCCCAATGTTTAATGTGGTTCCTGGACTTTTAATTTGTTCAATGTGGCCCCCGAACTTTTGGTACATGTTCAATTGTCCTTGAACTATATGAAAATGTACAATATAGTCTCTGAACTTAAATTAATGAAAGGACTACATTGAATATTTTTTCAAAGTTCAGATATTATATTGAACATGTACCAAAAGTTTAGATATCACATTGAACAAATTGAAAGTTCAGGACCACATTAAACATTGGATTAAAGTTCAAGGACTACATTGAACAAATTAAAAGTTCAGAGATCAAATTGCACATTGAGTGAAAGTTTAGGGACTGTTTGTGTCATTTTTCATTTTCCTTTTTTGAAATGTCAGTATAATTGTAAATACAAGACAAAAAGATGAAAAAATAATAAAAAATGCTAGGTCGGATTTTTCTGTCGACCAGAAGGTGATTGAGTTCATGAAAGGACCAATTCAATGAACAATAAAAAATTTTAGGATTTAAAAGCCCTAAAAAATAGTTTTAGGACTAAAGTGATGAAACATATGTTTTAGGTTTTTCCATGTTATTATCCCTAAAATATGTATCCAATAGGGAAAATGACACAAATAATCCCTGAACTTTGGTCCAATGTGCAATTTGGTCCATGAACTTTTAATTTGTTCAATGTAGTCCCTGAACTTTAACCCAATGTGTAATGTGGTCCTTGAATTTTTAATATCATCCTTGGACATTTGGTACATATTTAATTTAGTCCTTGAATTATATAAAAATGTTCAATGCAATCCTTTCAATTAATTCAAGTTCAGGGACTACATTGAACATTTTCATATAGTTCAGGGATTGAATTGAACATATACCAAAAGTTCAAGAATGACATTGAGCGAATTAAAAGTTCAAGAATCACATTGAACAAATTAAAAGTTAAGGGATCACGTTGAACATTAGTCTAAAGTTCAGGGATTGCATTGAACAAATTAAAAGTTCAGGAACCAAATTGCATATTAGGCCAAAGTTCAGGGACTCTGTCATTATCCCTATCCAATAATACATAGGTATTAAGCTCATGAATAATTGACTTTTAATTTGATAATTATTGTGTTCCTTGTAAATTTGATTTTAGGAATATTTTGGAAATTTTGATTTTATTCTCCCTTTATTACATGGGTTAATATCACGAAAAACCCTAAACTGGTACACTTATGACAAATTTACCCAAAATTAATTTTTTGACTACCAACAACCCCAAATTGGTATCCCTGTGACAAATTTACACCAACTATAACCCCCAAAAATCCCAAACTGGTACACTTGTGACAAATTTTCCCTCCGTTAGTTTCTGTTAACTTGGATTAATACCACAAAAAATCACAAACTGATACTCTTGTGACAAACGGAGGGTAAAACCCCAAACTGGTACATCTATCAATTGTTACGTGTCATCCAACTCAGCAATTTGATGGTAAAATTAATAGAAACTAACGGAGGGTAAATTTGTCACATATGTACCAGTTTGGGGTTTTTTTGGTCAAAATATTAGTTTTTGGTAAATTTATCATAGGTGAACCAGTTTGGGGTTTTTCGTGGTATTAACCGTATTACATTTCATTCATGAAATTAAACAATGTCATAGGTATTACATTACTTAAAGCAAACAAAGTAATAGTTATAACAGCTTTATTAAATTTTAGCGTAATAGCTAGTAAATTACACCTTTTCTATTAGTGCAATCAAATGCAAACGGGTGTTATGGGTTCGTAAGGGTAAAACTATGTGGATCTGTTTGTGTGGGCAATGTCATTATTTGTGATGTTTTGGACAACTGGGTGTGAATTTTCTGCATTAGGAGTGATGTAGGGATTTTCCGGCTCAATAGGCTTACTTTAGATTTCTCATTACCTTGCACATGTTTGAGCTGATTATATGAGTCAATCTGCCACATCCATGAACTTTCTGCCACTGAAACAGTCTAATTTGCAATGATTACTATGACTAATCTTCATAAAAATATAGTCTGAAGCTTAATTTCCACATAGATCTTTGAAGCATATGCTGGTTGTCTGCTCATTTATTACTTTGCCACTTTATTACATTTCAAATCTTTAATATCTGCTTTGGCCAAGTTCTACTGTAAGTTTCACAAAGGGCTACCTTTTACTTGCCTGTAGACCTAAATGGCCTTCATCTTCATTTGTTTCGTCTGATGGGTTGATCACAGCGATGGCTTACCGCTTGCCTCATGTAGTACGTATCTCTTTACTTGACAGCTGATTGTTAAAGAACCGATGTTTCCAAATTATTAGTTTGACTTATAGTAAATTTCTTATTTCTCAGGTCATGGGGGATAGGTCGGGGAATATCAGATGGTGGGATATAACTACTGGACATTCCTCCTCATTCAACACGCATAGGGAGGGAATACGAAGAATAAAATTTTCACCTGTTGTTGCTGGAGACAGGAGTCGAGGACGCATTGCTGTTCTATTTTATGATAACACTTTCACTGTTTATGATCTGGTATATTCATATATAGACTGTTGATTACAACTCTTTTCTGCGGATTTTGTGTCCGTAATTCTTGCTTGAGAAATCTTGTCTTTTGTTTAAGGACATTCACAGAAGTTTACATTCTTTTATGTGCAGGATTCGCAGGATCCATTAGCTAATTCTCTCTTACAACCTCAGTTTCCTGGAACCCTCGTACTGGAACTTGACTGGCTATCCGTTCGATCGGCTAAGGATGACCCGTTAGTTTTATGCATAGCTGGAGCTGATAGCAGCTTCCGCTTAATTGAGGTTAACATGTATGTCCTTCTAATTGTAGGTCACCATTCTTTTTTATTTTTTGGTTTTATTATATCTTGCTTGTATAAAGTATAATATAGGCCTGCATTCTCCATAGTTCTGATTTATCCATAGTCCAGTTGTCCAGTAATTAGGGGAATATGGTGACTCAGTAAAAAGGGCTCTATTAACTATGTTAGTAATGATACTTTCGGGACATATTTTCATTTTATTCATCCTATTTCACACTCGAGCTTCTGTGAGGCTGTTGGTAGAATGTGTCCACGTGATGTAGGAATTGACAAATTTTTATGATATGCTTGTTAATAAGAGGTGCATCAGCCCACACAAGGCTTAAAAAACTTGGTAGTGAAACTTGCTAATAACATGACATATACAGGGCTAGAGCTAAGCCAATCAATATATATGACTCAATCTGGTAAATGTGTAACAGTTGTACAGCTCATCAACTACTTAGGGGATGGCCTTTCCATACAAATAGCTGAAAAGACATCCTCTGATAAAATATATCCCTAAGTTTGGTGCTTGTACCTTCCGTCTCTGCTTCGAAATAGATAATCTTAACGAGTGTAATTGTAGATATCTGGGTTTTCTGAGTTTGAATCATTTAGCCCGCTATTATTAGAGTGATGCGTGGAGTGATTGGAATAAAAGATCCACAAGGTTTCGTTTCATACTTTATGACTATTTATTGTTAACTTCAATGAACTTTCGAACTTTATTGGTTTGATTTCCATTTCAAGTGTTTTCTTATGCAAGATGGATAATTAGGTTATTTAGGATGTTTGTCCTGCAGTTGTCACTTTGTCCAATTCAACCATGCTTTTCTCTGCTTACAGAAATGACAAAAAATCTGCCTCTGGAATCCAGCCTAGGCCTATCAGAGAGAGATTTCGGCCAATGCCTCTGTGTTCTCCCATTCTACTGCCACTACCGCATGCCTTGGTACGGGCCAATTTTTTTTAACTTTTCTGACTTGTATTTACATCTTATTTTACTAAAATTACTTATAAAAAAGTCCCACTATAATCTGAATTATCATTCGGCTGTAATACTCATAAGCAATCATTAATGGAATACATGCAATGCAGTTGGGGAAATGTTAATGATTCTGCTAGCTTGATAAGTTAAACTTTGCAGTTAGCGAGCAAAAAATTTAACTCTACCCTTGTTCAGGGTTCTGAGGTTGGATGGTATCTTCATGGAGGATTAGGTGGGACTGAGATAAAAAGTTTTGAGTTGAAAGGAGAAAAGTCAAAATAGTAAATCAAACATCGAAGTTGCAAAACTTCATAGGAGTATTAGCAGAACACAAAAGAAGTTGTATTGTTGAAGCTTAAAATGCACACATTTATGGAGCTAGATAGTCCTCTTCCACTGAGTGAAGAGCCTCTCATTTCTGCAGTTTCATCAATAATGAGTTCTAGTAGCATGTTTTTTTTTTTTTGGTCGAATAGTAGCATGCTTAATTTCCTCGTATTTTCTTGACAATAGGCATTGCGTATGATCTTGCAACTGGGGGTAAAACCCTCTTGGTTCAACACTACTGGGACCAGTATAAATAAGAGGCCTCACTTGATTCCAGGGGCCGCTTCGTCGACTGGAGATCTGCGTGGTTACATGATAGATATACCACCGGTAGGAGACTCCGTGGTGCCGGAGATGCTTCTCAAAGTATTAGAACCATATCGAACAGAAGGTTTTCATTTTGCTTTAAATTCTGCATTCTGTATTTGGCTTTTATATTGAATTCCTGAATTTTTTTACTTTTATTTGTGTTGCTTACACAAGTCAGGACATGTTGTTCCAGGTTGTATGCTGGATGAAGAGAGGGCGAGGTTGTATGCTACAGTGGTTAACAAAGGCTGTATTGTAAGGTTTGCATTTGCTGCTGCTGTCTTTGGTGAATCCTCTGAAGCCTTATTCTGGTTGCAGTTGCCTCATGCTCTCAACCACTTGATGAATAAGTTAGTGAGGAAGTCTCTGCAGAGAGCTCCTGCATCTGCACAGGTACCAGAGATCGACGAGACTGCCATGCTGAGCAGGATAACTTCAAAAGGGAAGTCAACAACCGGAGCAGGGAAAAAGGATCAATTGGTGAGTCTGTCAGCTTCGAGCCAAGTGAATGTAAAGCCAAAACAGGCTTACTAAGCTCATGAATTTTAGGAGGAATGATATTGATCAGTGATCTGGCAACTCTTGATTCCTCGTTGTCTAGGCTTTGAAATTCCTTTTTGAGCATTAAAAAATAATTCCTTTCAGTAGTTCCTCTTGACTAAATGTTGGATAATTTTAAAATTGTTTATTATCTTCTATTTCATTGTCAGAGCCAAGGTCAACTAAAATCAATGGCCTTCGAACAAGAAGAGTTGTGGGAAAATGCTAGTGAGCGTATTCCTTGGCATGAGAAACTGGAGGGCGAGGAAGCTGTCCAGAATCGTGTGCATGAGTAAGGCCTGGCTCGTTTTTCGTAATCGCGGTTTGTTGAATAAGCAGACATAGATACGTGAAAAGAATGAATAAGCATTAGAAAACATGGTTTCGTGAAAAAATGATGCATTTGTTCCCGGTGGAAAGATTTGCTTAGAAGTCGTCTCCATCAGTTAGCTTGCTCCGAAATCCACATTTCGACAGTAAGCTTTGCATCTTGCTTGATCTTTGCTGGACTGATCTTTTAAAGTTTGTTGGGCCTGATATATATGTGTATATGCATTTTTGAGTTAATTATATGCATAGCATTTCCTCATGTCTTCAAAGTATTTGTTGAATAGGAGAAAGTCTGGGTTCACTTATGTTGCCTGTAGTAAATCAATATACATACGGTTCTATCTGTGCTTTTAGGTTCTTGGTCAAAAGAATTTCTAACCTCAGTGCAATTTGAGAATGGTTTAGTATCCTTTGAAAGATTTGGCCTTTAGAGGATTAGTGCCAATAGACTATGTAGTTTCTGGGGACAGTAAACTTCCCTTTTCTGCTGTGAAGTTGTAAATTGGAGTGGACAAACCTTTGACCCAATCTTATATGGCAGAGCAAACATCAAGCGTCTTAAGCTCTTGTATAACCAAAAGTTAAATCGGAACCATCACAATTGTACTAGTCTAAACCAGTTGATGAGCATGGAAAAGTGTACACTAGAATACCGACAACAACAAACTAAGCCTTCTCCCACTAGGTAGGGTCAGTTATGTGAACTATTTTATGCCATTGTGATCGATTATGTATTATTTCTTTCATAAGTTCTTGATGCTTGATATCTTTCATTATTGTATCCTGGCCTTCCCCTGCCCCTTTTAACCCCCTCTTCATCTCCTAATCCACATTATCACAGGAGTCTCCAAGGTTTTTTTTTTAACGTGACCAAACCATCTTAAACAAGCTTCTCTTATCTCATCTTTGGTTGTTGGTACCCTTACTTCTTCCAAGATGTATTTAATTTTAATCCTGTCTGTTGGTGTGCCTGCTTTTTCAATAAAGCATTCTCATCTCCACTAATTTTATGCAAATTTCGTGTTTAACAGCCTAGGACTTCTCGCCATACAACATCAATGGCCTTATTGTTGCATTGACTTCTTCCTTATGCTTCAGTGGCATTGTGTAGTTGCATAAAACACTAGATGCACTTTTTCCATTTCATCCGTCTTGCTTGCACTCTATGGGCCACTTCCTTAGATAACCTGATGTCTAATTCTCATCAATATACTATTAGAAAGTCTAATTCGAAAGTTTAAAAGGTGAATGGACATTACATGTGTGTAAGGCCATAAGAAACTCCAGAACCAATCAATGTGAGACACATTAGCATACGTGACTTGAACTTCTACTCTTACTGAAATTAAATTACATATACTGTGTCTTTGGCCGACTTAACTTAAAACCCTTTTTTTCAATGTCTCTCTGTAGTTTGAGTTTCTCGTTTACTCTTGTCGGGTTTCATCTACGAGCACTATATAAATTTACATTTCAAGATGCACTAGGTATCAGTTCATTCTTATAAGGAGTGCGTCTTTGGGTCATGTCATGAGGAAGTTACCTCTTGAGGGTCGAAAAAGTGGACTTGGAACAAGTACTTCATATCAACGGAGATGCATCAAAATAACAAATTATGTGATGCATCTCCGTTGATATGAAGTACTTGTTATATATATCAATTTTGTTCTTTTCCTGATTTTAGCAAATCCCAAATTTGATTTAGTTGGATCCGAATGACGTGTGTAGTCTGTTGTGCAGTGAAGACTTTTAACTGTCTGGCATTAATAGAATTAGAGTGTAATATTGTCATCTTCTAGAAACCTGAATTGTTATCATTCCGTGATTATTCTCTTGCTGTTAAGTTCGAAAGGTTTTAATTACGAATTGTATTTTTTATATTGACGATCAGGCTTGTGTCGGTTGGAAACTTAGAGGCAGCTGTCAGCTTGCTGCTTTCGACCCCTCCAGAAAGCTCTTATTTTTATCCAAATGCTCTACGTGCAGTTGCACTTTCTTCAGCTGTTTCAAAGTCCCTTCACGAACTTGCTGTAAAGGTGAGTTTAATCTTATAGGATTGCGAATGTGGAACTATTACTCAATGTATAAAGCCCAATATCTTCGATTTACTAAACAAATCAAAACTTGAGCTGCTTTGATGTATATATAATTATCTTTGACAATGGGCTAAAAGTGTTTGCATACCTTTTGTTGGGGGTTTTACTGTGTAGGTTGTGGCTGCCAACATGGTTAGAACTGACAGGTCACTGTCAGGTACTCATCTTCTCTGTGCTGTTGGAAGGTATCAAGAAGCTTGTTCACAGGTTTGAATTTTCTTAACTAAAGCTTTGATATATCTTCATTATTATCTAATGTTAGTTGTCTACCTTAGGGTGCGTTTGGCAACCATTATGTTTCCGGAAACAATTTCTGTTCAGAAATGATTCTTTTTTATTCCGTGCTCGGGAACAATTTCTAAGTATTTGAAGGTGTTTGGTAACTGTTCAAAATTTCTATTCTTGGAATAGAAAAAGAACAGAAATGTGTTTGGTAACTGCACAAAATTTCTTTTTATTAATAATATTTTGAAATTTTTAATATTTCTTTCTTTTTCCCCTTCCTTGGCCATGGTCAGGTCGCCGGCGCCGGCCACAGGCCAGGGCCGGCAAGGGTCCAGCCCTCGCCGCCGCCCTCTCCAAATCCGGCAAGGGCAACTCGCGGCTTGGGCGAGTGCCGCCCTCGCTGCAACCCTCACCAGATCCGGCGAGGAAGGCTAGCGGCCTGGGCGAGGACGGCTAGCGGCCTGGGCGAGGGCCGCCCTCGGCGGCCTGGGCAAGGGTCGCCCTCACCAGATCCGACGAGGGCGGCCCTTGCCCAAGCCGCGAGCCGCCCTCGCCGGATGTTGCAAGGGTCGCCCACGCTAGATCGGGCAAGGGCCGCAATGCCCTCGCTGGCCTTGGCCTGTGGCTGGTAGGAAGAAGAAGAATAAAAAAAAAATTTCTTTTCCATTTCTAATTCTTGTTCCCAGAATCAAGAAGCAACCTTTTTTGGCTTCTTGATTCTATTCCAAAACTGATTCTGGGAACAAATTTTTGCAAATTTGTGCCTAGGAACAAAAAATTTACCAAACGGATTTCTGTTCCAAAACTGATTCTGAGAACAAAAGAATAGAAATAGTTACTGTTTGGTCGGTTGCCAAACGCGCCCTTAGTCTCTGTGCAAACCAGATGAAGGTAAGTTTTGTGTCAGGGAATTCCATCTTTTCTATTGTCTGGCCTCCTCTTGAGTTTAGATAGAGAGAGATGCCATACAGTTTCACAGATGTCCTATCAGACATTCCTGATGACTGTTTTCGGTTTCTCCTACATTTTTGTGTGCTATTATATTTTTTCCTACTTCCTAGAATGTTTTCGTAGTTTTTATATTGAAGATTCTCCTAAATCATATCATAGAATTTGCTCAAATATACTCAAAGCATAGGAGTTAATATGGTGAAGAGGAAACTTAACAGTGTATGTAGTGCAAGCCTCAACTGATAGTTTTTATTGTAACAAATTGTATAAACCTCTTGCTTATGCATTCATTTAATAACATCTTCCTTCACAAGTTATGGACAATTTGATGAGGTTAATCATCATATTTCGTCAAGAGTAATTCAAATCTCTAATGAGAGGCTGGAATGAGAATAACATTGTATATCAGAACACTGTTCTAATTATCTGTTCTTTCTCCTGACTTTGTTTAGCTGTCCAATTATTTGATGTGGTTACATCAGCATCCTGTATGGTTAACAAAATCCTCTGGCTTGCAAACATGAGGAGCATTGAGGGTTTTGTTTGATTTACATCTAGAGTCCCTTTGTTTACATCTCAAGTTTTGCCACTGATGATCCCTTGGAAGTCATGTTCCTGCCAGCATAGATTATATCTCATTATAGATTGTCCTGGTGTAGATTCTTTTTGGTGCTTTAATATCTCAGTGACTAAGGATGCACATTCTATGTTGTGGGTGGAATTTGGAGGACTTGCTTATTCATTTTTTGAATCAATCCCTCTTTTGGTGGCATGATTAATACTGTCATCATCGTAATCATCACTGCTAATCAATTTTATGTAGTTATCGATTTTTTCTGTGAATAGTAAGTACGCTCCTAGTGCAAGAAAGGTAATATAAGACTGAACTGCCAAAACTAACCAAATTAAACACTGTCCAGACTTGAACAGTTTTCTCACGGACCGAGCCAAAATCAACCAAATGGCTCATCGCTTTGATTAATTTTTTGCAGTTACAAGATGCAGGATGCTGGACAGATGCGGCGACTTTAGCTGCTACACACTTGAAGGGCTCTGACTATGCAAGGTTATCCCAAAATCTCCATTTGTCAAATCTTCATTCTTACTTATCCAATTCTTTCAAACCTGATTTTCCTATTATCTATCCATTACAATCCAATATATAGCATTTATGATCTCTGATGCTTACACTTGTTTTCTGATAATAATTTCTATTTGTTGCCCTTTTATTATTTTGAGAAACAGTTGAAAATCTCTTAATCCTTAAAGATTGTCTTTTATCGAACTTTAGTGCCCTCTTCTCTCATCAATGAAAGAGGGCATGGGTCTTCAAGTATCTGTGCACATTTATTATGCACATTAACAAAATGAGATTGAATCTTTTTATTGTGTTATACTCCAAGAAAGATCCTCATTTGATTCCTATCTTATACTCCAAGAAAGATCCTCATTTGATTCCTACTCTTAGGTGGATGATGTTAATAAAGTTGCTTGTCTCTATTGTATTTCGTTTTGTCAGGACATTTCAATCAAGAACGTGCTTACTTCTGTATGCACAAGTTTCTGGAACTTAGTTTTAGAGTGAGTTTGTTTACGCTTAAGCAAAAGCAAAACTAACATTTTTTTTGTTATCCACCAAAATTTAAATTGTTCCAAATTTCAAATACATATGAAAAATTTGTTGGAATCTGTGTCAATATTTATATGTTGTAAAATTTCTAGTGTTTCGGATAAATGAAAAGTCAAAGTGCATATGTTTGAAGATTTAGAGCGTGTCTAGACTGACTTTTACCATGTACTTTTTATTTGACCTAAGTCTTGTGGTGTACACACTTTGATTTTTTTCAACTCTAAACACTTCTTTCGCCACATATAAGTAATGACACGCAATTCACATATGAAATTTTTCATGATAAACCTTAAACAAAAAGAAAATAGTAAAAGTCAATTTGGACATGCTCTTAATATATTACAAAACATGATGATTGGGATGTGATAATGTTGTCTGATATTTTAGTTGCTCTCAAGGGAAAACAAATTCCGTTACTTTTTTTTTGGGTATCTTCATGCACTAATATGGATAAGTGAATCTGGGACTCTTAGTCTTGTCTGTGTTTTTGGCCAGTGGAGATTTATGAAAGTTCCTTTTGCTGAGGTGTGGCAAATGACAATTAGAAAATACATATTTGGTAGATCTGTTGACACTCAAGAACGATAGAATTGAAAGTTATTGTATAGATGATTTAATTAATTAGATGACTTACATTACTTAAAAAGTTGGTGATTTCACTAGGCAAGGTCATATTACCATGCTATGCATATTTTCATCCTTGATAATGCTATCTACTAAGCAGGTGTACAAGATTTGGTCTGATTGTATTGGATGTATAAACATAACCAAATCTCAGAGCATCCAATTACGTAACATGACAGCGTTGAGCATGCCTAGCATTGTTCTTTCATATAAGGTGCACTTCTGCTGGAGACATAAACTATGAAAGCATTGATTTTAGTCGCAGAAAGACAAGCAAAGTCGCGTTCTTTCTGATTAATTAGTTGCTCTTTGGTCAGATCTTTCCTGCACTAGAACATTACCTTTATTTCTGGGTCTTTCCGATCTGCAGGAAATTTTTTCTTTTTGCGAGTATTCTCTGTCCATGTCTAGATACGTGAAAATTGACATCAAGCCATGGAGGATCATGTGTTACTTCTAATGCCAAACTACACGAACAAGTTGGGGAATGTCCAGACCCAATCTACTAGACAGAATTTCTCCTTCAGTTGGGTTGCTACCCAAGTTGGACATTTGCTTCTAAATCTTCTCACCCAATTAAACTGCACCACAGCAAAATTCCTTGAGACTCGGATTGAAGTGTTTTAGGGCAGGACCAACCATGTAGTTGCCGGGCCCTTTATTACTGAACAAGCTGTGATGGATAACCTTAGAATCAGTTTCTACAGTAATTTTCTTTAGTTCTTGCCAAAGCTAAACTCAGGAGATGGGCTTGAAGATGGAACATTTTCACTCAAATCGTATCTACCGTGAAAATTCTGACCATTTCATTGTGTTATTCTGTTCGCAGAGTGTTGCTGAGATGGGCAGACCATGTACTTCTGGCTGAACACAACATCTGGAGGTACTATTCTGTTCCGTTTCTGTTTCTCTTCATATGAATAAAGGGCTTTTTTTTAGGCATCTGGTGCACCTACTTGATTATGGTTGCTTTTTTTTAGGCATCCCAGATCTTTCAGAATTTTCAATGAATTATAGAATAAAGGGCTTAATCATAATGTAAATGTAGATTTTGAGAATGTAGAGGATTGGTATAAACAAGATGTGGCGAGTGTAAATAAGTGACACCTTTTCTTTGATCAAGATCATTTGATGCTCTTCTCAGAGTGTGGAACTTTTATTACAGGGCCTTGATTTTGTATGTTGCTGCTGGCGCACTCCCGGAGGCATTGGCAGCTATTCGTCAGGCGCAGCGACCAGATACAGCTGCCATGTTCATACTCGCTTGCCGTGAAATTCATGCGGCTTTTATGTCCAACATGGGTGATTCTGATGACGAGTCTTCAGTCAAGAAGGAGCAGTTAAACTTGCCTGTTTTGGACCCAGAGAATGAGGATGTCATTGCAGTCGGGGAATATTATGGGCAGTATCAGCGGAAGCTTGTTCATCTCTGCATGGATTCGCAGCCATCATTCGACTAAACAAGCTAAGCTGGGTCATTGTCCGGTCTATTATTCACTTATGTCTCTGTGCGGTGACATTGTGCAATACCTATAGCAGCGTGAATGCTCGTGGGATTCCTTCTTGCTCACAATATACGTCGTTGATGCTGGATTCTTAATTTAGATAACCAAATTGCTCTCCCGTTCGGAGGGTCGTCAACCTGAGAATATAGTGTGGCTCCACACAAGGAACTTATACTAGAGGAGGAGAACTACATTCATCAAGGGAAATCTGGCATATTAGGCTCTGGGAGAATTCTGTGTTGCAGAAAACTCTACCCAATGGGTCCATTTGTATGTATTGTCAAAAATTTTGCCGTCGTTTGAGTTGATTTCCGCAGTTTTGCGAGGAGAGTATGGCGCTTTGAGATTCACATTCTGATTTATTGTTTCCCCTGAATGTACAGATCATTGAACTAATTTGCTTATAGATATTGTATCTGTCTATTCGTGGCTCCGCCTTTGCATTTGTTCTCTTCATATTAGCCTAGTTGAAAAAGTGCCCATTGGTACAGAAACTAGTAGAGAGGTGTGATGGCTGGAATTTTCAATCCTTGTTTGTTTCATGAAAAATAAATGATTTGAAAAATATTTTCCTAAAAATGTTCGCCTGTATAAGAATGAATGAATAGGAAGTTTTTTCACCGTTTACAGAAATTTTAGACAAATTATTATCGATAATGAAAATATTTTTTTATTAATTAATTATTTCAAGCAATGATGTTTTCCGAATAATTCATTTTCAGCAAATAAATGGAACCTTTAATATGAGTTCACGTTGGAGAATTCTTTATTTATATCTAGTTAGATTGGATTTTAGAAAGACAATTTCTCCTTAATTGATGATGTTCAATTATATATTTGTCATTATAAATTCTTCTTCTAATTTTTCCTTTGGATTCAATCAAATTAGATTTTCATCGTGAAAGTTCACTATTATCAAAAAGAAACTTTCTCCTTAATTAATTAGATTCAGTTATATATATCATTGATTTTTTTCCGTCCTTTCCCTATAATTATAACCGGATGAGCCAAAGATTAGATTAATTTTTTATCATTGGATTTCTCTTTTTTTCCCCCTTTCGCCATAATTTTGGGATTATATAATTTGGAGTTCAAATTTTTTTAGAAATATCTTCAAAGATGTAATGATATGGTTAGTTTTAGCAGGTTAAATTCGCTAATCCAAAACATAAAATGCTTAAAATTAAAGAGAATAAATTAAGCCTCTTAGAAAATTTGGGACAACCAAAGTCACCCAAACAAATGATGATGGTCATAAATTGCACGGTTCAGGAAGCCAGCAGATCTGCATGAAGGTCAGAAAGTTTGGCTCAAAGCTCAGTGCCGACCGGGCGGAAATTAATGAGCAATCTTCACCGATTTCAGTACCATCATCTCCGCAGGACGCTAAACATAGAAGCTACAGCAGCAGAGAAATGAGCAGGCAGTTTATATATCTCCATCGACCGCTGACAGTGCCACGAGGTCTCGCCATGGAACTACCCAGTTGAAATATTGCTCCACTGGTAGTTGCAGAATCCAAAGTCCCTCTTTTCTGGCGGTCAGCTTGATTTGAACACCTTCACCATTCCACAGATATGCTGGATGTAGGATGCCGGAAATTATGGGCTAGCTCAGCAACATCATGAGAAAACTGCTCCGATCAGTAGTAAGCACCCATAAAGATCCTCAACCACCTTGTCTAATAATTCACCTGAAAACAGATTCAACCACTTAAGATGTATCCTCTGCAGTCCATGCCCTCCATGCCCATTCCTCAAGTATCTCAAAACATTCTTGTTTTGACTCTGCGACTTTCTAGATTCCAACCTTCAATGTCTTCTCAGAGAAGGGACCATATGGGAATGGGTTACTCAGAGTAATCAAGCATGCCGAAACGTTTGAATTCAACTCAACGAAGGAATCTCCGGCGGCATCGAGCAGATCCCAGCTCTTCATACTCAGCTTTTGTGACGCACATTGCTTCGAAATCGGGGCTGGATGCCAAAAGTGATCCTCCTCGCCACACACCTAGTAGAGGACTGAAGATAATAGACAATTTAGGCAAAAGGAGGCCAACAATAGCATCTTTGGAGTGACAAATGAAACATAGAAGGGAAAAAGTTACTCTTGTTGAGTGGTTATCTTCACTTTGTAGTAATCAGGGACAAGAGGCCGGAGTTCTTTTTCTCTGTAGGAAAGTGTCAACACTATAAGGCGGTGAAAATGCCTCACTAGAATCAACTCAAGAGGAGGTAATGGAAAGAGAAAGCTTACAGTCTCGCAGCAAATCGAGGAAAAAGTGTGCTTCCACCAGTCAATATGATGCTTCAAAATTCAGAAAAAAGAAAAGAAGAGCACAAAAAGAAGTTAACTACTGGTAATTGACAATTGCAAATGCATAGAAGTGAAGCCAGCAGTTCAACACGGCAATGCTCGAAGGACAGAATACCTTTCATAAAGAACGGGATGAAGATGCGGATGGCAGGAACTGATAGCTCGAACAATGCACTCTGCCAGTCCAGCCTGATTCATTCCTGAAAAAGAAGTTCCACAGTTGCACTTCAATGGCTGATATTTATACATTACTGAACAATAAATGATGGAAGGATCACTTCCTCAGACCAAACAAGATGTGATTGACATTTCTTAGTAACAGACAACTGGTAAATGCACCAATACATTGAATCTTCATCTAAGATGCCGAAAAGTAGATTTAGAACCAATAATGACGGATGTTGACCACAAAGACAAAAAATGACCAATGGATCAGATTAAGCCCTTTCTTAGACCAAACAGGATGTGATTTGTCACTTCCTTCGACTGAACAAGATGTGATTGACATCTCTTAGTGACAGGCACTAAACAATTCACCAATACATAAATTCATAACTAAGGTACTTAAGAGCAGACTACAACAAGATAGGAGCACAAAACGCACCCAAATCTGCAGGTCGAAAAATCATCTCTGGGACAAGGAATCGCTCATTCGTCAGGTCGAACTCCTGTATAGAAGGTAGAAAATTTAAGGAAAGTCGCAAAGGAAAATATCTTCTATATTTTTTCTGTGCACGCACCAGACATTTACGAATAAAAAAAACCCCGAAAGAGCTGTAATGAATATATACGATATTACATTTTTGGTTAAGTCAATTCTCTTTCTGTCCTCTGCAGATTCTGGCCTCTCAACATCAATAATCGTTCCACCTGATGTAAGATGAGACTCATCGGTCGAATTGAGGTGTCGTCGTGCTGCTTCTGGGTCTTTGACAAAGCCCTTTGTATGTGTGACTCCGTCAGGAAGAACATATGTGCATCTAAAGACATTATCATGTCCAGGCTTCCTAAAGAAGTACAGTTGATTCTTGTGAGCTCACTGAAGTGACAGTTGTCTACCAATATGCATTGGTAGAAGTTCTAACACAATTAACTAACTAACCAAAAACTTCTGCTGTACTGCAGGGCATTTGATTTCTTTGGGTGATACTTACTAAACTGAATGCTAAACATAGAGGCTAAAAAATGCATAGATAGAAGTTCTAACACAACTAACTAACTAAGAAATATTGAAAACAACAACTAAGCTTTATGCCTTATCCCGTTATATGAGCCATCTGCATGAATTTTTTGTGCCATTACACTTATGTATCAAGTTCTGTAAGATCCAATTCCTTATGATTCTTTGAAAGATGTATGCACTCCTCTTTCACTCCTAAATTTAGTGATATTAACTGATAAAATTAATTCAATTCCCCAGGCTATTCGTAATTTTATACCATGCTTCCTGAAGGGTTCAGCTGCTTGGGGTTCCTTATCTTGTTGACTTAAATTTTGTGCTGAAAAAATCTCTGGATGATTCAATAACAGCTGGATGGCTAGTAGCAAGGCTAGTTTTGATACCAGTAGCAGCTTAGCCATGTATAGTCATATTGTGGAGCATTAAAAATTTAAACACATTTGCAAACCATTTGCAAGTATAATGCAAACCTATGTAATTGGCAGATATTTAAATTGGGCAAGAAGAGACTTGATCTCACTGTCCCAAATTTTCAGGAAACAAACTACTGAATGAAATTCTGTTACTTACCATTACCTTCAGATTTTGATATTCATCATTTCCCTCATTTTCCAAGCAACAAAGCAGAAACAAGCTTAACTCCATACATAAACTGCTAGACTATCTTCAACTCATCATGATGAGACGTCTAACAAAATAAAGCATTACCTTGCAAGCTGCAAATCACGGTCAACATCAAGGGAAACAAAGCATAGCTTCTCCTTAACATCATCCATCAAGAAGCTCTCATCCATAACATTAATCGATCTATACGACACCAGCTCCTTCAAATAATTCGTCAAAGCCTTCCCGCCCAGATCGATCCTCTTCACCCCATAATTCAAAGTAAAATTTTGAAAAACAGGCGTCGCGTGTGTAAAAGAGAACCCGCAATCCACAACAAGACTGCACTGTGCCTTGGAGACCAACCTGACACACACCCGAAAGCCACAACAACGTGAAAAGCCATAAACAACTCGAAATTTCCAGCTTTTCAAGATTCCCATATATGAAAGAGGAAATCTTAAAAAAAAATTATCAAGACTTTAAGCTCATTCTAGTCAACTTTGATGCTTCAATAGCTTTGTTCCATCAACAATCAGCCATGACCAGAATCTCAGAATGATACCCATAACTCCTCCCAGAAGAGAAGTCCTAAACCAACCCACACATCATTTCCCAGTATCCTAATAAAACGAGGGTATGAGTCGAACATTATAGCGATTACCCTTGTGGGCTCGTGCTGGCCTCGTACAGGTGAACGAGCGAAGCAGAGTCGGCGACGTAGAGGGACTTGAAGTTGAAGTCCTCGAAGACGAGCTCGTCGGTGGCGCGCTGGATGGAAGGGAGGGTGAAGGGCGGCTCGGTGAGGAGGAGGGAGGCGGAGGCGGTGCTGACGCGGAGGTGGCTGGCGAAGAGGTGGGCCCAGATGTCGCGCTGCAGGTCGGCGTTTATGAGGTAGCCGCGGTCGATGGGCCGGCGGACGGCGGCGGAGGTGAGGTCGAGGGCGGCGGCCGCGGCGGCGGCGGTGGCGGCGGCGGCGGAGGAGGAGGAGGAGTGGGGGAGGGGGTCGGGGTGGAGGAACTTCTTGGAGGAGAGGGGGCGGAGGAGGCAGTTGGGGAGGACGGTGGTGGGGTCGAGATCGCCGCCGCGGCCGGCCTTTATGAGGCCGCCGCCGTTGTCGAGGACCACCACGCCGGACATTTCTCCGGCGGAAATAGAGAGAGCGACTGGTCAGGCAGTGGGCAGTCGGGGTGAAGTGGCATATATATCAATATGGATGGTGCGATGCCTCGGTTTAATAACAAACTCTATTTATTTCGCCAAAAAATAATAATTAATAATTTATTTTTTTAAATATATCGCTTATATTATTTAAATAATTAGTCAATAAAAAATATTTTTATTTTTTACAATAATATATTTACCTGAATGATGAAAATGTTTTTCATTCATTAATTTTTATAGGAGATATAAGAAATAATTTTTTGAAAAATATTTTCCACATCCATTATAGAAAGCCTTTTTTGTTGGTCAAAACAAACAGAGCCTTAATCAAAGGATTATTTTTTATAATTACACGATATGTATGGGACGAGGGACTATCGTTACTGAAATTTAGTCGGGTGCTCGAAAAATCTATTACTTATAAAAAAAAAGTATATAATTGTTTAATGGATCCAAATTCGACAACACCGGATATATGTTGATTCGAAAATAACAAAAAGAGTAACATTAAATTTGAAAGATTTGCATAAGTATATAGATTTATATGCCAATAATGAAATATCTTTAGTCTTTTCAAATGTCTGTGTTAAATAAAAATCAAATTGCAAACATCGCAAGATTTATACTATTAGCAAAGAGAAGTATCCGATCCTGAGTAGGACCTTAAAAAGTTTAAGGGAAGACAGGAGAAAGGATTCCCCAGTACGATGGAGGAAGAGGTTCATCCCGTATTCCAGTCCTCTCTCTGGAAGAAAACAAACACAGGGAGCGATTTTTTATGTCCAACATCACATCTGCTAAAATATCCTAAAGCCTTTTAGGCCTAATACTCAAAAAAATCTCAAATTTTAACTTTTGCCCCAATCTTACCTTTTATCTCATAAAAAAACCTTCAACTTTAGGTCATGTCCCAATTCTACCATGGCCTTTTTTTGCTCTATAAAAACCCTCAACTTTAGGTTATGTCCCAATTCTACCATAAACTTTTTTTTGTTTTATGAAAAACCCCTAAATTTAGGTCTTATCCCAATTTTAATGCCTAATTCCAATTTTACCCTTAATTTTTTTTTTTTTTGTAACCCAGGGAACCCCCGCACGGCCGACAGCCGGGGAGTAAACCCTGGGGGCGACACGTGCTAGCCACCACACATGTGCCACCGGTTAAGTCACCCTGCGGCGCCCGAGATTCGAACACTCAACCTTTTGCGAGAGGAAGAGTGCGCGCTCCAGCAGCGCCACCCAGGCGGGTGGTTCCTTTAAATTTTTAGTCCTATAAAAAATCACAAACTTTTACTTGAGTCACAAATCTGCCAACATTAACCCTTCTTCCAAAATTTCTCGTTGGAAACCGAGAGATGGAAAACTCCCGAGCATAAGCTGTTCAAGCGTTCCGAGCATGAGCTATTTAAGCGTCTCGAGTGCGAGCTCTTCGACCGCTAGAAATGAAACATTCCCAAGCATGAAAGATCGACGAGCACAAAATCACTAAGGGTGATTTTAACGAAGGGTTAATGGAGAGAAAATTTGGGACTCAAGTAAAAGTTAATGATCTTTTATAAGACAAAAAAATAATTAGAGTGAAATTAAACTGGACCTAAAGCTGAGAATTTTTATAAGACAAATAAAAAGTTAGGCTAGAATTGCTAATGAACCCAAAATTGAGGCTTTTTAATGATACAAAAAAGGTTTATGGTAGAATTAGGACTGTATCTAAAGTTGCGGGTTTTTTATGAGACAAAAAAATATTTAAGGTAGAATTGGAACATAATCCAAAGTTGGAGGTTTTTATGAAACAAAAGGTAAAATTGAGACAAAAATTAAAGTTTGAAGTTTTTTTAGAGTATTAGGCCAAGCTTTTTACGACTTTTGCAAAGAGAATTTCGCACGCCCGAAAGGATAGTTTTGTGTTGGTGGGTATCTAGTACTTCCCACTAAAATCACCCACTTTGGTCACCTCATTTCTCATGATTATGGGTTCCTCGTTGTAGCTCACTCATCTTTCTTTCCACGGAGAACTACCAAGTTGCCCGCATTCGCATAGTGCGTGCCTCAACTCTAATTTATAAAAGAAAAACAGTAGAAAAAGTCATTCCAAATAGGTAAATTGACTTAGATATCCGGGACAATAGCACAAATTATGTATAGATTTGGTCCAATACACAATGTCATCTTAGGATTTTTAATTTGTGCAATATGATTCTTGAATTTTGACCTATCATGCAATGTCGTCCCAAATTTTATTTATTTATTTAATGTGGTCTACGAACTATTAGTAAATATTCAATGCAATTCTTAAATTATGTACAAATGTTTGAAAGTTTAAGAACGACGACATTGAATAAATTAAATTTTTTTAAATAAATAATATGGCATAATGAATTAAAGTTAAGACGACAGGGGCGAAAGAGAGAGCCCCCAACTCTGACCGGGCTCACCGTGGCCATCGGCCTATCTTGAAAAGTTTCTTGCTGGGCAGGGCTACGGCCATCTCCCTCCAACCTTCGTCGTGCTAGCCTGTAACATCACCCTAGCCTTCTTCGCCGTGACCCAATACCCATCCGCCACCGGAGCACCAATCCCCACTCGGACAAGAACCTTTGCTTTGACCTCACAGACAAGAAAACCAAACCAGGGAAAAGGAAACCAAAAAACCAAAAAAAAAAAGCAGCTTTAATTATGCAGAAGCACAGAGAGAAGAGAGAGAGAGAGAGGGAGGATAAAGGGGGTCGTGACTGCCCAATTTGTGGAAGGTAAATAGGGTTATTCTCCTCAATTTGCTTCCTCCAGCTTCTCTCCCTCTCCCTCTCCCCCAAGTCACCAGACCGAATCCCTGCCCGTATCAAGATCCGCTTTCCTCCCCCCTCCCCCGAGTCCTCTTGAAAACCCAGCAAGAAAATCAAGAAACCGCCCGGAATCGGAGATTGGGGACTGCCCTCTTTGTCTCTGTGCCTGTTCTTGGTTTTTTGGCGTTTCGGGTCAACTGGGTTCGATGCTATCCCTGTTCCCGTTGATCTGAATCGACCCAGTTGGAAGATCAGCTGCATGAGCTTGGTCGTGGGCTTCAAAGGGTTGTTAGATTAGATCGGCCGCTAGAGAGAGGGAGGGGAGAGAGAGAGAAGGCGAGAGAGAAAGCAGACAGATTTCTGCAAAAACATGTCTGCAATAGTGTGTGGCAAGAGATCTTTTTTTGAGGAATTGAGTGCTGCACCGTCCCCCGTCGTCTCCAAGAGAATTCGCTGCTCGTCCTCCCCGGTCCGCTTGTCCCCTCCGAGGCAGCAGCCGTCCTCTTCTCCTCCTCCCCCGTCCTCGCACCTGCCGGGGTCGGCGGTCCTGATCGAGCAGCTCGCTGCGATCTTCCCTGATATGGACAAGCAGGTCTCGAACTGTTCCATCGTCCTGCATGTGTGCCCTTTATTTGATTCTTGTGCAGTTTCTTGGGTAGAGGAATGGAAACTTGTTCGACTTTGATCGGCTTTTAGGCTGTGAATTATCCTTTGGGTTTCTTCAATTTCGTCCATAAATGACTTTGTTTATGCCTTTTTCATACGTGCTCCTGATTTCTGGGTTTTGTCGATTTTATCGGTCTTCTGCTTCCGGGTTGTTGTTGGTAGATGATATTTAAGCTGAGGAGTTCTAATCATAGCTTTAGGTGATTTGAGTATATTAGCATTGATCTCTCTTAATGAATATTGATCTGTTAGATGTTGATCTGTCTTGTGACATGATTTTCAATTCGGTTGATTGACCGCTTATCATCATGGAACCGTATGATCAGTGATCTTATTTTCATGGCTTCAGGTGTTTTGAGCATATTAGCATTGACCTCTTTTTAGAAAATATTGAATGATTACATATCGATCGACTTGTGACATGATTTTCAATTCATTTGATTGACCACATATCATCGTGGAACCTTATGATCAGTGATCTTATGTTCATGGCTTCAGGTGTTTTGAGCATATTAGCATTGACCTCTTTTTAGAAAATATTGGATAATTACATATCGATCGACTTGTGACATGATTTTCAATTTGTTTGATTGACCGCATATCATCGTGGAACCTTATGATCAGTGATCTTATGTTTCGTCAAGAAGTAAAAATCTATATTTTCTGTTTTAGAGCGCTTCTTTTGTTACTTATCCTGTGATTATGGCATTGCCTAGCAATTGACAGCCTATGTTGTAATTGGAGTCTCGTGTTCATTGTAATGAAACATGCGAAAAAATGACCCAATTTGATATCTGAATAAACTTTCTTTTTGTTTTTCTTCCCAGATGATGATCTGATTCTCATTAGAAAGAAAATATAACCACCAGGTTGCTAATATGACCTTTTACATTGTTTTGACATGTTCCAGCTTCTTGAAAGAGCACTTGAAGAGAGTGGTAATGACTTGGATTCCGCCATCAGAAGATTGCATGAACTTCGCTTGGGATCTACTGATCCAAATTTGGGTTCTGCTCTGGATGGGTCTAATGCATCAGTGGATGTCAATGTTCCGCTTCAGTCACAAGGTGAATCTTGGATCTTGGTAAATTAACTGCCTGAATTAGGAAAGCAAGCTCCTCGAAAGTCAACTCAAAGAGCATGCTTACTTGGAGTAATATTAACTTATACGCGTTAATTTCTGTATATTTTTGGGGAACTTTGAGTTTTTATGTTCCTTCATCGTCACAGGATTCATTTTATAGATGTGGAAGTTAAACAATCAATTTCATATATTTGGATTATTAGAAAGAATGGCATGGTTCTCTTTTGAAATTGGATTACAGAGTAGGAAGGAATGCTGTCGTACCTAGGTTTTTGAATTTGCCTTGTGGCATGTGAGAGCACATTAAGCGATGAATATCCAATTTACTTTGACCTCAATTACCTGCTTTGGGGCTCTCTCTTCATCACAATCTTATGTTGCATCCTTTTCTTGAGGCGGGGGGTGGTAGGGATTTGATCCTTTTGCTTTAACCACTTGTCATGAGCCAGGCTTTAGTTCTGGATTTACCTTCTTATTGAATTTTTTATTGATGTGTCATCTTACTTTTAATTTTCAAAGTATTTTCTCCTTGTTGTGGTTTGAGTTTTATGACAGTAGACGATGGATGTTGCATTGCAGGGGGTGCAACAACTGCTGGAGAGCCAGCTTTAACACAGGATTCATCAGCTGAAGAGACAATATCAATTGATGGGGCTGAATGGGTGGAGCTCTTTGTCAGAGAGATGATGAGTGCCTCCAACATGGATGATGCCAAAGCCCGTGCTGCGAGAGCACTCGAGGCATTAGAGAAGTCCATCTTGGCACGGGCTGGTGCAGAAGCATCCAGGAACTTTCACCAGGTAGCTATTTTAGTCATATGGAGTATTTACTACTTTGACTTTCGACCCCCCTGGCCCCCCAAATACCTAAACCCCCCCCCAAAAAAAAAAAAAGACTTAAGAATGATCAGCTCTGTTATGCCGACGGTATCCCTTCCAGGAAAATATGCTGCTGAAGCAACAAGTTGAAGCACTGATTCAAGAAAATACAATTCTCAAGAGAGCTGTGGCTATTCAGCATGAACGCCAGAAAGAGCACGAAATAAGGAGTCAGGAATTGCAGCATTTGAAGCAGCTGGTATCTCAGTACCAGGAGCAGTTGAGGACTCTTGAGGTTTGAACTTGTGAACCTTGAATCTTCTAAGCTATATGCTTAGTTTTTATTTAGTTGAACATAAATTACCTCATATCTGTTATAGCATTTATATGTCGAATGTAAAGAGGTTTTCATATTTCCTGTTTGGCTCCATTCATTGACAGGTCCTTGAGATATATAGAATCCATCTTGTTGTCTTGGTGTAACCCTTGCTCTTCTTTGGTCACTAGCAATTTGATCTTTTTCTTACTGTTTTATCTTTTGATGCCATTCTAGGTGAACAACTATGCACTCACGATGCACCTGAAGCAAGCTCAACAGAGTAGCTCCATCCCTGGGCGTTTTCACCCTGATGTGTTTTAGGGAACTGAGAATCCGTTGATTTGGGCTGTTGATGTGGACTGTGGTCTTATGCGCTCTCTTTTAAAGGGTGCAAATGGCCTGAAAACATGCAAAAGCTGTAATCCTCCCCACCATCCGCAATCAGCAGTGGGTGTCTTACAAGACGAGTTAGCAAAACAAAGTTAGAAACTAGCTTGTTACATTGTTATTCTTCTTTATTCCTATTTAAGCAGATGGAAATGGTGTTGCATGTTATGCCAGTATCTGGTTGTGTGTGTGTAATTATGTGGGGATCATTGTTTCTGAAAGTTGCTGTATCACTGCAATATCACATTGTTTCATGAACTGCTCTAGCAAATAAGTAGAAGCAATGTCGTTCAAGGCACTTGCATGGGCATCCTACCGATGCCCATAGTGCCAGACAAGGAAACTTGGCGACGCGACCTTGCTCAAGTACGACAATGAGGGGGCACCTTGTGTAATGCGCAAACTGTGCTTTGCTCACCTCAAAACCATTTACCATCACCACTCAGATATATTTGGTAGAGCTTGACTGTAAGGAAGATCCTTCTCCCATCGAAACGAAAGCTCACGGAATTAGGCCAACAAATGATTAGGATAGCACCTATTATTTCCCTTATTTAAGATAATTTAATGCATGAGGTGATGTGCAATCAAAATATGACAATTTGATGCACTTTTCTTGTCATAAGCAGGTGTGCTTCAATTTGCCACCTTAATTGGACCTGTTGCTTCGTTCTGCGATGATCTGAAAGATAAAAACATTTTCAAACCTTCAATTCAGAGGATACGCTCTTTGAAGGAGCTTCAACATGTCCTCTACACAGGGAAAGCCAGTCCTGGCACTACATCCTTTTCCCCTTCTTGGCCAGTAGTTCCTGCTAAGAGTGGTACGAGAACCTTATACCATTAGTACTATGACATTCGTTGAATCTACCCGAGGTAAGTTGTAGGATATGCTTTTCCAGGAGGACCAGCATCTTTCTTGCTTCAGCTCTAAGGAAGGTAGACAGGAAAGGTTGGTCTTTTATAGAGACTCTGTGTCGGTTCATATCGATCTATCGCCGAGGAACTTTAGCTTTTTATCTGGTGGGCTGCTTTCGGTATGGACAAGTTTGTGAATGGTAGGGCCACAACTCTAAATTTCCATTAGCAAATCTAATGCAGAACTAGGTCCTTAAGGCATATAGCCCCGGAGGCAGAGTTCAGAGAAGCCCTCTGAGAATCAGAACTTAGCATGTGGGAAGATAATGCTCCTCTCCTCTGGTCTGCGACAGGTTTGTTGAGGTTTGTTTGGTCATTGGGCACGGTAAGAGGATAGAATTTTGCAATCGATTTAGCATTCAATAGGCATGGTGAGTCGCGGAGTATCGTTTAACCATCCAGTGACAAAGCAAAGCTCAATAGCTCCGAATCTCGCTTTCTGGTGCTCGAGACCCCGATAGCAAAATGTGAAGTTCTACTGCTTCGTTGCTCATGATGATGCGGCCAATTAGATTGTTGGCTGAACTCCTAAGGAAGCCTCCGTTCCGTTCCGTTTCGCTTCTATTCGCGATTTGAGGATACCTAAAACGTTCAAGGCAAGGCATATTCGATGCAGTCCCTTGAGTGTACGATAAGAATGTGGAGATTCCAATACTTCCTCTTGCATAAAAATTTAGCATAGAAGAACCAGACGTACGATTGCAGCCATGTGCAAAATACTTCATCGTTTTTGTTATTGATCTTCTATCTATTGAAGTAACCTCGAATCATTCATCAAACTTCATTCTGGACACGAGGCTCCTTCATCCTCGCGTGTTCCAGGGGTCAAAAGGGACAAGCCGACGCTACGACGTGATCCTTCGATAATGAATATGATATGTATGCCGTACAAGCGCAATGCAATACTGTTTCTATAAGTTGAGTCATATATAAGATTGAGAATGAAATTGTCGAAACTGGTGACGCGAAATGTCCACGAAGTACATTTGACTGGGCAAGCCCTTCCACCCCTTGACTCGGCCTGTGCATAAAATGGACAAAAAGAAGAAGAAGAACGAAGAAATCATCAAACTCCATCCGGGGAGTCAAATTCTGTTGCTACCCCCGCAAGGGCCGCGACCGTCCCATTCTATTCTGACCACAGGACCACTGTTCTAACGATCAACACGATGCCTACTGGTTGGTTTCTATCAAATTTCTAGGTTAAAACCCAAGGAAGGAAAGAACAAAACTATACAACACTGCAAGAGATTCCCTGATGAACAGGTGACCCCTCATAGTAAATAGGATTATGTATCTATTACCTAACGCTCGAGGTTTCTCCGTCGACGCCTCGATGACTGTCGGATCCCCTCGAGAGACACCCACGAAACACTATTCGGAACTTTGATCTTACGGTTGTGATGGACCCCGTTCTCGGACATCTGATCCTTGCGAGGACTCCATCGACACTTGAAGTGACCGGTCTTCTTCTAGGTTATATCAGTTGCCTGTACAGTGTACACCATTCGTTGGCGTTCTTGCATGACACTTGATGACTGGGGAGGCGGAGAATACAAGGGAAACGGAGTAAAGGGTCGGCCCCAAAAAAAAGGACTCAATATGCAGAGACGAGAAGCGTTTGCCCGCCCCTCATCATCCTCTTGAACTCGTCGAAGTTGACCATCCCGTCTCCGTCCACGTCCACCTTCCTGATCATCTCCTCGCACGCCTCCGCCCTCTTCCCTTCGCTCATCCCCAGCGACGACAGCACCCGCCCCAGCTCCTCCACCGTGATCACCCCGTCCCCGTCCCTGTCGAACACGTCGAACGCCTCCTTCAGCTCCGCCTCCCCGTCGCCGTCGCCGCCGCCGCCGGCCTTCTCGACGGCGGACATGGACTCCAGGAGGCCGCAGAACTCGTCCAGGTCGATGCGGCCGTCCCCGTTGGCGTCGGACCCGGTCACCGCCTCCTCCACCTCCGCGTCCGACACGGAGATCCGGAGTCCCCGCAGTGACTCCCTCAGCTCCTCCCTCGTGATGTGCCCGTCGCCGTTCCTGTCGAACGTCGCGAACACCCGCCTGAGCTCCGTCCTCCTCTCCGCGCTCATATCCGGCCGCTGCTCCTTCCTCGGCTGCTCCAGCACCGTCGCCGCCACGGCGGCGGCGCCATCCGACTTGCCGGACGCGGCGGGCGATGCAGCGGCGGCGGGAGGGTGCTCCGCGAAGAGGGTCCGGAGCAGCGCGGGGAGCTTCTTCGGGGGCAAGCGGAAGAGTATGTTGGCGAGGGAGGCGAGGAAGACGAGGGACAGCAAGAGGGCAGTGAGCAGCACCATGGCCTCCTTTGTAATGGGGAGTTTGCTGCAGGAGAAAGGGAAGGAAGTTGAGGAAGATGAGAGGAAGGAGAGGGAGAGACACTGACACACAGGGAGAGATAGACAAGACAAGGGAGGGGTGGTTGGACGAAGGAAGAAGAGGAGAAGGAGGAGGATGGGGGAGAGACGGGTGGAACGTTGACGTCCAAGTTCGGGAGGGGTTAACGCGGTATTTGGCGTGGCCGGGGGGGCCACAAAACCGCGTGGAATTAAAGCCCGGGAGTCGTCCTATCGTGGGAGAAGTGGCCATCGCAATACGCGTGGAGTGAAGAGGAAGTGTTCCGCGCGCATTCATTTTCTTTTGTTCTTTTTCTTTTATGGTCCTTTGGTGGGGACCCGCATGATCGATGGCGACGGGAATGCCGGGTTGTTCCATGAGCCTCCGGGTAGCCGGGGGGGTCCTCGTGCATGAGCTCGTAAATTATAAAAGAAGATAATAATGATCGCAAATCAGTATAACGATGGAGTCGTGCTCTTCACCCTTTTTCTTTGCAGTTTTTTTTGGCTTTGCCCCTTTTCTTCGTGCAGAGCGCCCGCCGGACCAGTAAAATGGGTAGGTCGGATTGGGTTTGAGTCGGGATCGAAAATGGTCCAATCCAAATTGATCGATTTAATATGTTTTGACATATTTCCATGTGATACAAATCTAGTAACCCATACCCGACTCAGTCCGTACCCGATTCATACTCGATCCGACCCATATTGCCGAAGCACTTCCATATTTAACCAAATCTAAGAAAATTCATATGTAATGAGAGAGTAGAACGAACGAGCACGAGCACGAGATCGAGTGAGGGCGAGAAAGGGTCATAGAGATGGGTTGGGTCTAATCAAATTGTAGACTAATTTAACATCTATATTATTTTAGGTTTTACCATTCTAAATTTATTTGTGACCCACTTACTGAATATAACTAACAACTCAGCTCATCAAATATGGATTAAGGAATGGGCATATAACACATTTTAATAGGTCTAGCGTCCGCCCACTCACCAACGTCATTATTTGCTACACTGGGCATGGCTATGATTTCAAGTTACCATGACCTCTGCAACCTCTCTCTAGATATGAAGTAGCGACCTTGAATCGGACGTCAGGCTCAATAGACTTGTCAAAATGGGCCATATACCCATTTCTTAACCTATATTTGATTAGCGGGGTTGTTATATTGATTAATTATATTCAGTATATAGGCCATAAATATGTTGAGAATGGTAAAATTCAAAATAATACGAGTGTTAAAAAGGTTCACAACTCACTCAGATCCAACCCACTTTCATGACTCTCTCTTCACTCATTCTCGCCCTTACTCGATCTAGCACTCGTTCACTCTAGTTTGGGTATGAGTTTTTTCAAATTTGGTTAAATATAAAAGCATTTTAGCAATATGAGCCGCGTGTGGTATGTGTTAGATATAAGTCAGGCCGAGTATGAATTACTAAATTTGTATCATATGGAAATGGGTTAAATAGGTTAATTTGAATCGGATAATTTTTTAACCGACATAAATCCTACCCGATCCATTCGTTTGACAAATTTAGAATCAGCCGTTTACATATCAAAGTTCCCAAAAGCATCCAGACCTCATTACTATTGAACGATTTGCATGTGGTTATCAATCGCAAATGTATGAGTGACGTATGAGTGGCGGATTTAGTGTACGAGTAACTCGAGGACGGTTGTTGGACTGAGGCATGGCTAGCTGCATAGAGGGAGCGATCGCAGATGATTATGGAGAGAGAGACAACAGCAGTCCCGACAAAAATTGTGCACCTCTCTCTCCCAAAAACAATCCATTAGCACTTGCTTCCCACCAGCAACTCCAAGGAGCTCCATCGCCGTCTTCGACGGAAACCGACCTCCATAGTGATCTCTGTGTGTGTGTGTGTGTAATGATGTGACTCGGTTCATGTGGGTCAAATTTCCAGAAAAAGTACTTAAGTGACTGCACACGATGATAGCATTTGACATGGCTAGTGATCTCTATGCGTATGTAGTGATATGATCAGTTTCACGCGGGTCAAACTCCTGGAAAAGTGCTTAAATGACCGCATACAATGATGACGTTTGAAGGCGGGCCTTACTTGTGAATAATAGACATGTCAAAACGGGTGGCCGAGTTAGATTTGGATCAGATCAAAAATGATCCGATCCAAATAGATCAATTTAATCCGTATTTAATGACTCATACCTAATTCGATTCATATTACTAAAACACTTCCATATTTAACTCAATTTAGGAAAATTCGAACCCAAACTGAGATGAGAGTGCGGAGTAAATAAGTACGAGATTGAGTAAGGGAGAAAAAGATTAATTGAATTTAAATAAGTTGTAAATCCATTTATGTCCAATTTACAACTTATTTAACACTCATGTTATGTTTATATCCATTTATGACTCATTTAGTACATATAATTAACCCAATTATGACCTATTTACTGATATATGTGTTAAGAAATTGATTTATGACTCATTTTGATAGGTTTAGTGAATAACAACACAAGATCTCACCCGTCAAAAGTGAAACTTGGGATACTTGGGATCTCTCTCTCTCTCTCACACGAGCACACGTATACACACACAACAAACACAACTCGCCCTTCTCCACCACCACCTATGCCCATCACCTTTGTTGATGTTAACACCATCCTAATTTCATCGTCGATCCATTAGGGTTTATCTATTTCAGAGTGGGTAGATTCTCAGCTTAGAATTGAGAACTGACCCCGTGATCCCCGATTCCGAAGTATTAGAATCAAGAATTGAACCTTTAGGTTTCGGAATCACTGGATTTGGAATAGGCTCATTTTATGTTTTGGTAAAAGCTGACTTTTATAATAAAATATGAAAAGTTGCACCATTTCACAATAAAAAAACATTTATCGGTCAAGTGGTCATGTTGTTTAGTATCGAAGGCCCCGTTTCAATTTTTAATACGTATGGAAGTATTGGTTTATTCTAGAAGTGGCTTCAAAAGTAGTTCAGAATCGAGTAGTACAAAATAGTTACGGATCAAACCAGATGTACCGTAGAATATGTGAGACTCTTATAGCAATACCCAAAGAGGATCACTAGTGCGGACCACGCTCCTCAACCTTTTTTACTAAAAGAAAACCATAGTCAACAATATAAAATTGCTCAACTTGTGGTTTCTCTTTCATAAAGAATAAAAAAGAGTAGCGCTTGCACAATATGTCTCGTCAGATTTGAGTGTTGTAACCTTTGATGCTCCACTTTAACTTATTCTCACATTTCTTGAGGGAAACGTGAAATGTAAGAGAGTAACGATGCTGCCTCCATCACAATGTTTCGCAAGGAAGCCGAACAATCGACTTGTCCTGTTTCCCTGAGAATACTGTGAATTGAGATTTTTTTTTAAGGGAAAATTTCAAATCATTACCCAAAGTGGGGTCATTTTCTCAAAAAAGGGTCCAAAGTGGACGTAGTGTCAAATAATGGCATGAAATGTCCAATCAGTCTCAAATAGGGGCCCGAAGTGCCCAATTAGTTTCAAGTAAGGGCCTGGGTTCGCCGGCCGGTCAAATGCTCGCCGGACACTTTGGACCCTTTTTTGAGAAAATGGCCCCACTTTGGATACTGATTTGGAATTTTCCCTTTTTTTAATTAAAAAAATTAATCAATCAAAATAAAAATAAGCGAATCGAAAAGATTGGTGAAAATATTTTCGCGAGCACACTACGAAAGTATCGAGTTTTACATTTAAATAGTTGTTCAAAGCTGTTTAAATATCTATGCTACTATAAAGAGTATAGGGATTCCTACTTTTAAACGTCTATGCAAGATCTTAGTAAATCAACGTTATACTCAATTCATATAAACTTTAGCTATAAAAATGTACATTAGCACAAACAAATCTACCAATTATTTAGAACTAAGATAGACCAAACCTACTATTAATTTCACAAGTCTCTTTCAAAGTCATTTCTCTACTAATCTTTGTCACAATATTACAATGTGTAAATAGTTTGAGTAGAAACTTCTTGTTTGGTCATGAAGTAAAAATTTGTGAGCTCGAAAATTGGGGATAACTTTCGCGCGATGTTCACTTGAGTGCCACAACATTTTTTTTTTCAACCACTTGAGTGTCACGACTTCTAAAAAAATGTTTAATTGAGTGCCATAACTTTCAGTTGATCATTCGAGTGTTATAGCTTTTTAAAAATGTTCACCCAAGTGTCAAAAATCTAACGTGACATAACATTTGTAGTTAACTTTTTTAAAAAGTTATGGAACTCAGGTGATCGATTGAAAAATTATATAATACTCAAGTGATAAAAAAAAAAGTTAAAGCACTCAGGTGAGTGCCTACAAAAGCAATGACAATTATATAATTGAAAAAAAAAAAGTTATGATACTCCGGTGAGCGCCGTACAAAGTTATAACACTCGTGGTGTCCCTTTCCCTCGAAAATTGCATGTACTCCAATAGCGTACTTGATTACTGTAGAATGAGATTATGCCACGTTTTATAAAAGATTGGAAAATTCAAGAGTAAGAACATATAAATGGAAGTAGAAGGTATAAGATTCATGGCATAACTAGATGTGTGAAGTAACATATAAGAATTTGTCTTTAAAGCTGATCAACTTTCACACTTTATTCTCATTCAATGTATATATATATATAAATCGTTGATAGCATTTTGGGAAGATTAAAGCTAAGAGATTCCACAAGAACAGAAGCATCACTTTCCGTCAGTAGAAAACAAACTCGACAGATCAAACGTCTGATGAGATTTGGGACTATTTGGGACAAATTCTGTCGAACATCGAGGCTATTTTGAAAACAAAATGATGTTCAGGGAATGTTTTGAGAATTGACTTTCAATACGGGGGCTTAATCGAAAAATCCCTTCCGCTTCCTTCGGCTAGGCTTCGGAATCAACTTCTACTGTTTCACAGGTCCTGGCCCTCTACTTCTTCATCTTTCCACAACATGATCGACAGGAGAAACACCGCGTCTAGCGATCCATCCCCGATAGCAAATCGCGGGTTAACGAG